GGAGGTGTCGGTGAAGGGCCATAATAATCATATACATTGTATATTGACAAAATAAAAATTTTAAAAAAAAAATAATAAAAGTGACTTTTTATCTAAAAAAAAAAAAAAAAAAATTTTACCAGTGTTTATAAGATATATATAAATACAAAAATGTCACTAGCATAACGTTTTTGAGGATCACCCATGCTGTAGCATGTAACAGTATTTCATTCCTTTTTATCCCTGAATAATATTCTACAGTATGAATATACACATTTGTTGATACATTCAACACTTGATGGACATTTAGATTGTTTCCACTTTTCAGCTATTATGAATAATGATGCTGTAAGCATTCACGTACGATCCTCAAAACATTATGCTGGGCTGGCCAGTTAGCTCAGTTGGTTACAGCTCAATGTCATAACACGGAGGTCAAGCCCCATACCAGCCAAACACCAAAAAATAAAAATAAATTATGCTACTGGAAGAAGTCATACTGTAAAGGCTATAGATAGTATGATTCCATTTACCTGAAATTTCCGATAACAGCAAATCTGTAAAAACAGTAAGCAAATCAGTGGTTCCCTGGAACTAGACTCTGGAACAAGGAGTGATTACAAATGTGTTTGAGGGATATTTTGGGGGTGGTGGGAGGTTCTAAAACTGGATTTGGCTTTTTCGTAGCAGGTTTGCCACCAGAACACAGGTGTCGTGAAGACCACTGCTAAATCAAAGCCAAAATGGGAAAGGAGAAGACTCACATTAACATCATCATCATTGGACACATAGATTTGGGCAAGTCCACCACTTCAGGCCATTTGATCTACAAACGTGGTGGAATTGACAAAAGAACCATTGAAAAGTTTGAGAAGGAGGCTGCTTAGATGGGAAAGGGCTCCTTCAAGTATGCTGGGTCTTGGATAAACTGAAAGCTGAGCATGAGCCATTGATATCTCCCTATGGAAATTTGAGATTGGCAAGTATTACATGACTATTATTGATGCCCCAGGACACGGAGACTATGAAAAACATGATTACAGGCACATCTCAGGCAGACTGTGCTGTCCTGATTGTTGCTGCTGGTGTTGGTGAGTTTGAAGCTGGTATCTCCAAGAATGGGCAGACCCATGAGCAAGCTCTTCTGGCTTACACGCTGGGCATGAAACAACCGATTGTTGGTGTTAATGAAATGGATTCTACTCAGCCACCCTACAGCCAGAAGAGATACGAGGAAATTGTTAAGGAAGTCAGCACCTACTTTAAGAAAATTGGCTACAACCCCGACACAGTAGCATTTGTGCCAATTTCTGGTTGGAATGGTGACAACATGCTGGAGCTAAGTGCTAATATGCCTTGGTTCAAAGGATGGAAAGTCACCTGTAAAGATGGCAATGCCAGTGGAACCACACTGCTTGAAGCTCTGGATTGCATCTTGCCACCAACTTGTCCAACTGACATGTCCCTCCAGGAAGTCTACAAAATTGGTGGTATTAGTAGTGTCCCTGCGGGCTGAGTAGAGAGTGGCATTCTCAAACCTGGCATGGTGGTCACCTTTGCTCCAGTCAACGTTACAACTGAAGTAAAGTCTCTTGAAATGCACCATGAAGTTTTGAGTATAACTCTTCCTAGAGACAACGTGGGCTTCAATGTTAAGAATGTGCCTATCAAAGATGCTCATCGTGGCAATGTTGCTGGTGACAGCAAAAATTCCACCAATGGAAGCAGCTGGCTTCACTGCTCAGTGATTGTCCTATACCATCCAGGCCAGATCAGTGTTGGTTATGCCCCTATACTGGATTGTCACACAGCTCACACTGCTTGCAAGTTTGCTGAGCTGAAGGTAAAGATCAATCAGAGTTCTGGTAAGAATCAGGAAGATGGCCCAATTAAATTCTTGAAATCTTGTGATGCTGCCATTGGTGATATGATTCCTAGCAAGCCTTCTCTGACTACCCTCCTCTGGGTCGTTTTGCTGTTTGTGATATGAGACTGACATTTGCTGGGGGTGTCATCAAAGCAGTGGACAAGAAGGCTGCTGTAGCTGGCAAGGTCACCAAGTCTACCCAGAAAGCTCAGAAGGCTAAATGAATATTATTCCTAATATCTGCCACCCCAGTCTTAATCAGTGGTGGAAGAATGGTCTCAGAACTGTTTATCTCGCTTAGCCATTTAAGTTTAATAGTAAAGACTGGATAATGATAACAATGCATCATAAAACCTTCAGAAGGAAAGGAGAATGTTTTGTGGACCATTTTGGGGATTTTTGTGCCAGTTTTAAGTAGTTATTAGTTTTTAAAATCAGTACTTTTTAATGGAAACAACTTGACCAAAAATCTGTCACAGAATTTTGAGATCCATTAAAACAAAGTTTAATGAGAAAAAAAAATGTATTTGGATGATGGACGCCCAATTCTATAAATTTACTAAATGTCATTTAAGTGTCAGAAAGCAGAAGTTTTTTTTTTTTTTTTTTTTTTTT